ATCGGCAAAGTAGCTGCATATGAAAAACTATCATTTAAATTGTTTGGGCGTTTAGAAGTGTACAGATGTAAATGGGACAAATATTTAAGATTTATAGAGAGCTCTTAAAGAGGAGTAACATGCGGTGATCCGCTTTGTTGTTATTGCAACTTTTATTTATTTTGTCGTTTTGCTTATTTATTGATTGATTTATCTATTTCTATGGCTTGTGTGTTTGTTTGCTCACTTATTTGTATATTTATTTTATTTTTTATTATTAGTATTATTATTTATTTATTTATTTTCCTTTCTTTTAATGATACTGAGCCTTGTACAGCACTGGATTAAACCGGGTCATGAATGTAGCACCGACACAGCTGGGGTGGGAAGCGGGAGGATAAAGGGGGTTATGTTGCAAATACTGATATGTGTGGTTTTGTATTAATCTAAGAGAAAAATCAATAAAAAATGTTAATCATAAAGAATTACAAAATAAATTTGTTTAGTAACTGACTTTATTAGACAATAGTTACTCTCTGAGAACACAAGTTTTCCAAGTGAGAGGACAAACATTTTTCACACATGCTTTTTGCTTAAGGGGGCACAAGGGGGTTATTTAACGCCTCTGTGTAGCAGCTGGAACAACACTGGAAGCATCCTGGGCCTCTGAATATAGAAGACATGCAACAGTAATTTGGAGAGACTTCTTTGGGCCCTTGATGCTGATGGGTTACACCAGAGAACAGCAGCGTTAACATTAACCATCAGCCCGCTCACAAATGACTAAATATAAATTCAATGTGTGACAACATTTAAAGAATTTTATTCCAAAATAGAAACTGTACATATATACCCTGTATATACACTGTATATCCATTTGTAACTATGTTGGACGTAATAGGGATTGAAAATTCTCACAATGAGGTATAACACATTTTTTATACAGTTCTCAACCACACAAACAATTATTTACACTTCGACCTCTTACCTTCCTGAAAACATCTCTGATATGCAGGTGGTCTGGAAGCAGTTTGCCTGAATAGATAAGTCTCTGGTCTTTCTCAGCCTGTTGGGAAGCAAGTGGAAAGGTTTCAGTCCCTCATTGAAACAGATATCGAAATAAAATGTTAAAAAATCCCTCCAAAAACACCTCTTCACTCCACCAAACTTCTTGGTAGTTTTTAAAGTAAGTTATTCTCTGAAAGTAAGACAACTCCTTAGCTACGCACTTAAAAAAGATGTTTCTTCAAGGGTTTTTTTTACTATAGGCAACGGTTTCAAATAGAACCATTTCATGCTTAAATGGTTCTTTGTATGGCGAAATGGTTCTGATGGAGAATGTGTTGCAAATGGTTCTATATAGAAGCTTTTTGAAAATGGTTCTATAAAGCAGCAAAAAGGGTTCTGCTGTTGTCATAAATGTCAAGTTTGTAACAACAGAAGCACTTTGTGGTGATATACAGAACCACTTTCAAAGAACCATATACAACACATTCTCCATCAATCTGAAGAACCATTTAAGCATGACATGGTTCTATATAGAACTAATGGTTCTAAATAGAACCAACTGCTTTCACTAAAGAATCCTTGAAGAACAATCTGTTTTAGGTGTGTAACTTGATGGGCTAAGAGACATTCACGGAATGTGATGTAAGCAAGTTTCCAACTAGAAACACATGGAGACAGGTGGTGCTAGCAGACACGCTAGCTAACAAAACAGGTTAGCTAGCTAGGTGGCTAGCTGTGGTAGCTAACCGACTCCGCTGACAGTCAGTCAGCTGACCATGGCAGGAAAAATGAAAGCAGTCTGTACGGAGCACGAAGGAATGCGAGGAAGCCAAAACAAAACTCCGACCTTCAGCTGCCTATCGCAGATACCCGGATGTGTACAACTACAAGTCAGGCCTGCAAGGCTCAAAGCCGGCGACGAAAAAAACAACTAAACCTAAATCACAATTTATCCCACTAGCTAATGCTAACAGCCAACGTCATCAGCAGCCACATCAAACCCGTTCGCGGCCGCTCTCCGACTAGCTTATATAACCGAATCGACGTTAGCCAGCTAACCAGCGTCTAACGTTACTGAGGCTAGCTTCGACCGACCGGTTGTAAACAAGCTAGCGTTAGTACCCAAAACACACAACTTACCGGTTTGGACGGATAGACATCTGCCAGATACGTTTTCAGATCCTTCACCGTCCAGTCGATGTTTACACCCTCGATCAACTGATCGCCATGAACTTGACTGGGCGTTTTTATTACAAGGGAAATCGGCCCCTTTTCTTCTGAGACATTAGAGTCTTCCATTTTCTCTGTCTCTGTCTCTTAACAGACAATTACGTTAACTAATGTAAAAATGTACGGTGTTCGCAGAATACGCGTATTAATAAACTCCCCAGCCGGAGTTAAAGAGCAGCTTTGTGTGAGATCGACAGCACCTCGCCTGCTGACAAAAGAGGAAACAGCAGCTCCGGTTTCTCGGTCGGACTGAAGCGCAGCCGACGGTGCTAAAATATTCGGGGCGTGTTGTTTCCAAAACACAGTGTGGCCGCGGCTGATTGGTTGAATGCCTCTCGCACTCCGACGTGGAGCCTGTGCGGACAGCAGCGCACAGCGCATGTGCAGACTCGGTGCAGCAAACAGGATGGAAATTTCTCTGGTTGGAAATATCGACTGAGATAAACTGTACCGAGTTGCATCAGGCAGCAATATGATGAAAGAGCACGGCTACCGCACTAAGACTTAGTGACTTGAACATCACCCAATTTTAATATCTGATCATCAGTTAGGGTAAGTTCGGGTCATTTGGGACAGTCTGAGTGTGCTGTGTTTATTTCCTCATCAAAGTTAGTGCCAGGTCCCTACAGACCATGTGATTGAAATCACTGTTTACTTCAAGTGAACTTCCTAAATATTACTGTCACAGCAAGGTGGTCCATGTAACCACGGCCCTAACGGTAAGGGCGTAACGTTCTGTCCTTTCATTTGTTAGGGCTATATAAATATGTCATGATTTACTATGCAGAAATAAGGTTCACATACACTGCTCTGCAAAAGTCTTAGGCAGTCATGAAAACCTCAGAAGTTTATTTTTGCTTGTAAAGACACTGTATAACATTTAGATTTAAATATAAATAAACATAAACAGAGCAAAAAAGTAAGAAAATATTAATATGTATTTTAAAAAACATTAATATCAGTGCATTTCAGCCATTCCATAGATTCATTAAATTCCATCAACAGCGCACCTGATTTAATTTAATGAAGGATCAACTAAATAAACTATGAGATGGTAACTATAAATACTGGGCTTCATCAAGGAGACATTTGGAAATGGTTAAGGCAACACACTGACATACATAAAACCACAATGTGTTGTTTATTTGTATAATAAATTTATATGTTCAGTTATAGCTTATATCTAAGCTTAAAACATGGTTATACCTAAAATTAAAACACTTAGCACTGAAATAACAAAATATCATATTATGTGAACTTATCAACTATATCTTTAATCATAGTATATATATATATATATATATATATATATATATATATATATATATATGTGTGTGTGTGTGTGTGTGTGTGTGTGTGGATCAACAACAGTCATAATTTCTTTTTACATGAACATTTCCCAACCTCTCTTCATCACTAAGAATTAAAAAGACTGTTTTTTTTTACTGTGCCTTTAAGACTGCCATATGTAAATGACCTCTATTCTGACTGGCTGTCCTGTATTGGGCCAGTCCAGGCTCATCACTTCAGGACGGAGCTGACCTGCTGTAGTTTGAACAGGTCGATACTGGATAGGTGCATTGGTTTTTGTGACATCAAAAATGCCATAAATTCAAAACAGTCTGTTTTTACAGCTTAGATTTCAGATATGAAATGGAGAGTGAATGGTTCGAAACATTAACAGTGTTTACATACTACATCAAGTCTTTTATTTAAAAAAAGCAAGGAGAATTTGGTTTACCATAACATGGGCCCTTTAAATGACAGATTTAGACAGTGGGTAATTCAGTTTACTTATGAAACAAAAAGGGATAAGATGCTTAAATTATAGCTTCTACAGATAGCAGGCAATCACAAACTGATATAGGAAATAGGGTACCTTCAGACTGTTTGCATCTACTTTATAAGAAGCAGCTTACTTGTATTTACACATATAGTTTATGACCACAGGACTGCTGCTGACCAGGTATTATTTCACTGGTCAACACAACAATGACAGTGTCCAGCCAGGAGTGGCTCTGAGGTCTCTGACCATGATGTAAGGATAGAAAATGACAAACACAGATTGTCCATTGTAATGAAAGGGCTACTAGTCTAACTATGAGTCTACTGTACACAGGTGAGATGGACCTACATTGCAAGAGTTTCCAACAAAGTGGTTGGTGAGTGTGTATAATGCTACAAAATTACAAAACAAAATGATATGAATCAAACACAACAGTACATTTAACAAATCAGTTAATATCACAGATCATAGAAAAGTTCTGAACAAACAACATTATAGAGATCAAACATAATAGTGTAGTAGATCAGTCATAGAATGCCTTCAGGATTTCGGCACACGAGGTCCAGTGTTGAAAAAAGTCAAGCTCGAGTGCAGGGTACAGCTGTCTGCAAAGGTTTAGATGCCCCTGATCAAATTACAGGTTTTGTTGATTTTCTAAGTAAATATAAATTAACACATCCTATATAGAGAACAAACTTATGCACATTTCAATGTACAATTACTTTTTATTTGCTGAATCTAACATATTGGAAAAAAATAATTAAACATAAATGTTAAACTTAGCAAGTAAATATAAATTGTGCACTAAAATTTGCAGAAACAAATACCATATTTAAGTGTGTTCTTTGTAGCAGATATATTTATTTTTAAGTATTTAGTATGTAACTCATTTTCATTTAGAAAATCAATAAAACATATGTACCAAGTCTTATTGTATATCATTCTGAAGAGCTCCAGTGTCCTACACCTCACAGCTGCTGCTGATGAGATTTCTGTGGTCTTTGAGTAATGATCACTGGCAGTAGAAAGTGAGCACGCTCTCTTGGTTTCCTCTGACCAGCAGGACTGGAGGCCGCAGGTCACGGCACAGAGTCTCCAGCCAAGCCATGTAAAGAGTACTCGGGCAGGCTCCTTTCCGTCCTACAGGCATGGTTCTGTGGAGCGAAAAGCAAACAACTCTTTCAAGAAATGAAGACAGCTCATAATACTGTCGTCCACTGGAGTCCACAACAGAACTGAAATGTAATGTCACAAAGACTTACATAATAATCAAAGCAGCATCTCTTGAGTAGTCTTTTAAGACTTCATTCAGGCGGATCTGCCTAAATGACTAGACAAGCACAGAAATCCACAGAAACATTGATGATCAACAGGAAAAACAAAATGCTGTAATGGTCTTTAAGTGAAGTGCTCAGCAAAGTCAGTTTATGAAAATTCATACACATTGTAGTTATGGGGTTCTACTGTGTACAGTATTTTCAAAGTGCACTGGAGCTTCTATTCATTTGTTTCTCTATTAGTATTCAAATGTTTACCTTTGCCAAATTCTTTTCAAACTCTTCATCAGACACCATCCAAGGGCAGTCTCCGGCAGTCTGAGTGTCTCTTCCCCTGTTCTTTTGGATAGCATGTACCCTATAAGGCCCTAGCAAGTCCTCAAACTTCTTAACGCTGTTAAAATGCACAAGATATAGTGATAAACAGCTGTTACAGCATGTAAATGCATTCAGCATAAACCAGGAATGTCAAACATATGGCCCATGGGCCTGACTGGCCTGAATGGTCCTTTTGTGGCCTGCCACAAGAATTTACAATCCATGTTCTAAATTAAATCATCTTTTGGACTGTAATTGGTCATTTGCAAAATAATGATTGACACAATACTCCAATCCAGTCACTGCTTAGCAACCGTCTCTAAGCATGATTTCTTCTGACTTCAGTCTGACAACTGAAAAACTCCTCAGAACAAGCCTGCAGTGAGAACGGCGGTGGCAGTAAATTAGTCAGAATTATTAGATTTATTCAGAGTGTTACTGAGGAGCATATAATGTCTGAAACATGCTACCCTGATCACCTGGAGGGTGTTGCTGTTTTATATGAATCCTGAAACCAAAAATGTATTGGATTAATCTGTTTGTAAGATCTCACTCACAGCTCAGTGTCAGAACTATTAACAAGCAGAAGGAACATTCTGTTTGAAAATAAACATGCACTTTGTATGCCTGCAATCATTTGCATTCTTTGAGGTTTGCTAAAAGACCTCATGTAAAAGATGACATATCCTGAAGATCTAACGTTGCAGTGTGATAAGGCCTGTTACCCGAAATGAGTTTGACACCCCTGGCCTAAACAAAAGTATATACAAGATGAGTAAATAACCAAATTTAAGGTGGGAGAGGTGATAAATATAAGGCTAATACTGTTCAGGCTGGGGTTTCTCGTTGATGTCAGGAAGGACTAGGATCTCGTGGAAGCCGAGGCGAAACTTGCTGATGAGAGCTGTGAGGCTAGAGAGACAACAGGGAGAGGGTTGCTACAAAATCAGGAGGAACAGATCTCAAGTCAAAACTGAATGATCATAGAAAAAAAATCAAGACTTCACATAGGATTTCAGTTCATTTCAACAAATAGCTCTGTACTTGTGGCTTACTGCAAGAATTAAATATAGAAAACTCGGTGCAGTTGAATTGTGAAAACATAAGATCATGATGATTTGTATGTTACAGTGTTTGAGTAAATACACTTTGCATAGTAGGTTTCAGTTCTTGTTCACAGTGCTAAATAAATAAACTCAAACACTCTAGTGTTAAACAGGAGATTATGGCTTTAGCTCAACTCACTCTTGTTTCTGTTCCTCAACATGCTGAATCTCTCCTCCCACAAACACTCTGACTTTGCACCTGCCCCAGCGCTTCTTACGCTTCAGAAGATACGGCAGCAGTAGTGTCAGACCTGACAACACACAGCATTAGCCACTATTGCATCAGTTCTACACACACTCAAATTCAGTCAGATGGCAAAAACAGTTAGACTGCATGGTAAACACCACTCTTGACACATCCAGAATAACTTTAAATACATACACCTCATGAGTAATTCATGTGTTTATTTAATATTTAATAGTGTCAGATCCATAAGGAAGGACTAGTCAAGGAAATGACAAGGAATAGTAGTCTAATGCCAATTATTATTTATAGTGATAAGCTTTTAGTGTTTATCTTTAGATAAGTCTGTAATGAAACACTATTCCAAAAATGAGGAAAGAAGGAACAATATAAAATATGAAAATGTAAAAGTTTGGGTTTTTTACTAATTTTAAAATGAATTTACATTAAAATTTGAAGTGTTTTTAAAATTATTCCACTTATGGATATTCTTTAATTCATTTGTAAGTGAGTTCCACATGTTAACACTGTAAAAGCTGTTTGCCCAAAGGTGGTTTTGCAATAAGGCACCTTGCGGATTTTCTGCAACAGCACCCTTTGTAAGAGAATCAACAGCCTCAAGAGGTTTCATCATGTCATTGAGAACTTATGGAGCTTGACTGTGGTAGCACAGTAATGAATGAGACAGGATCACTGAATCCATATAAAAAGTTTCAGTTTCATGCGTTGGAAGACAATTCCTATGGTCAAATGACATTTTGTTGATGTTTAAGTGAAAATAAGTTAACGCACCCTCTACAGAGAACATACTTCTGCACATGTTAATGTGCAATTACTAATTATTTTCTGAATGCAACATATTGGGGGGGGGGATTCAAATGTGGCCTGTACAAAAGTTATGGCACACTTTCTATTTAATGTAATATGTTAAACTCATCAAATAAATAAAAATTGTGCACTAAAACTTTCAGAAAAAAAAGCCATATTAAAGTCTGTTCCCTGTAGAGAATGTCTCATTTTCACTTTGACATCAACAATGTCATTTGACTGAGCACCCAAATTTTTGCATATGACTATAAATGGGACATAATAATTTTTTTAGGTCATAACAATTTTTTTGTCAACACTCACCTCCATCATCAGACAGCCAATACACATCAATAGTCTTCTTCTCCTGCCTGGACTGAAATATGGTGGTGGGTTGAGGCAGAGCCATGAGCGAGTCAGGGTCCACTGCAGCAGAGAAAGTAACATTTGATAAGTTTCTGCATAGTCCAAATACAAAGATTGCTTTAATCTGTGGAAGGACTGCAGCTAATAGTGTAAAGTATCAAATTACAAAACACACATACTGTGCAGAACATTTGCTCATTTTCTGCACAGTCCAAACTCAAAGGCTGTTTTCATTTGTAAAAGAAATATTAACTATCAGATAATAAAACACAAAAGGTGCTGTACATGAATACTGATTGTCTTTTTATTTCATTTTATATTTTATACTATTTTTATTATTTATTATTTCCATTATTTCTGCTCCTCTATTTTTCCTTCAATTCTGTGTACTTGCAGTTATATACTACTGTATGCATAAGTAGATCATCTCTCAAGAAACAGTGTTTCTACTTGGGTGAAGTATTTCACTACCACCCTAGCCATTATGACAACAGTGGGTTTCAGTGCATACTTGTTGTGCTGATATTTCTGGCATCAAGCCCCGGCTCAGTGGCTGTCTCAAACACTGGGTTTACTGCAGTAAAATAATAAAATATATAACGGTTGGGATGAGGATTATGATAAATTGGTACAAAACAAATTATGACTTAAAATGCATTTATTTGAATATTGAAATGACCATTACCATGTGCCTGCATTTGATGAGACAAATCAAGACCTTCTTTCATCCGAAGGATGCATACACCATACTGCAGATCAAATGCATCACTGCAAAACACAGAATATTCAGTAGAGGACAAAGTACACAAATCCTGCACTTGAGTTAGCCTTGGTAAAAAAGTATTAGTGTTCTACTGATCTTTTTATTTAAATTAAAGTACAAAAGTACTTGCTTCTAAATGTGCTTAAAGCTACACTCTGATGGAAATGTATAATTACAATTAACTAGTGGGAGAACATTTTGGAACACCTTCCTCAAGCTGATGAATCTGCTGATTGAGTCTTCAGTTTAGGAAATGGCAAATGGGTAAGATTTTCCTCCCCATTCAAACTCCTGGGCTATTGGGTATCTGATGTACATATACCCCACACAACACTGCAGTGTTTTCTTTCATTACAAAAGCTTGTCAGAGGTGTCCCAGGCCCTAGCCATAGTTGCTAAGCTGTGTTTGGACATTCTTGGGAAGGATTTAGTGAAAGGTGTTCTATGACTGGTTCAATTATTTGTAAAGTGCATCAGATTCTTTGGGATATAATGGAAAATACTTGAAAAAAGTGCTTAACTACAGTAATGATGTACATTTTTACTGTCTGACACTGATAGTATCATATGGCATAATGCTCTTTCACTCTCATGTAATTTAAAAACTCTAAAATCTGAGTCATTAGATGACAAAATATGTAGGACCTACTGTAAAATGCTGATGTAATTTTCTATACTAGTTGGTGGACATTTGTTCCAGTTCCTCTTAAATCCCATCACCAAGATGTTTGGTCGGATCCGACCTAAACCTGCACCCTGTAGAGACACATCAGAATCAGCCACAGTTGCCATCAGTGGTGGCAAGAACCACAACACCAGACTTCAACAGGATTTCAATCAGACAAGCTCAGATGATAGATCAGGGAACTGTTTGGCAGCACCTGCAGCAGTATCTGTGCTCCTGTGCGCAGGTCATCAGCAACCACTCCTTGATAGAAGGACTTGATGCGTCGCTTGTTGAGCCATGTCACATGACTGCTACTGTTGGCTGCATCCACAGCCTCAGGTGAAGGTCCTCCCTTTGAAGAGACAGCACAGACCGGACACTTAATTAACTACACTGCCTTGCATCTACACTCATTGTCTATTTTATCAGATCCTCATACCATATAGGTGCATTTTGTAGTTCTACAATTACAGATTGTAGTCATTCTGTTTCTCTACATATTTTTTTGGCCTGCTTTTACTGGGTAGGTATGATTTGAGCATCGGCTCATTCTCAGCACCGCAGCGACACTGAAGTGATGGTCATGTGTTAGTGTGTGTTGCACTGGTACTAGTGGGTCAGACACAGCAGTGCTGCTGGAGTTTTTAGACACCTTGTCCACCAACCAAAAGTATTCAGCCAACAGTGTCTTGTGGCCAGTGTTCTGTGACCACTGATAAGAGAGTAGAGGACAAGTAATGCAAGCTCTTCAGCAAGTCAGTGTGACTGCAATGCTAAGAATTATCCACCACCCAAATAATACCTGCTCTGTGGTGGTCGGTGGTTAAAGAACAGGGTGAAAGTGGGCTAACAAAGTATGCAGAGAAACAGATGGATTGCAGTCTGCCATTGTAGAACTGCAAAGTGCACATATATGGTAAGTGGAACTGATAAAATGGACAATGAGTTCAGATGCAATAAGGTGTACTTAATGAAGTGGCTGGTCAGTGTATAAGGTCTACTGGTGTAAAGGGTACTGTAGAAAGATGATGTAACAGCTACTTTGGGATAAATTTTATGTCATATTATTGGCAGTGGCTACTACCAGCAATGCAGGCGGGGCAGTCACACTATGGCCTGTAGCATAGTGGGGCCTGTGGTGACCCAGTCCCCTAACGTCTTTGTTAAACCCATTATATGGCTACTAACACAAATTAGCACCCATGACTCATGACTAGCTATGATACCTACAACCATTAGCCTACATTATAGCACTATTTAGAGCACTGGAGCCCATGAAATCCTAGTTACGCCTGAGTTACGAACTGAGATATTACCTGTCTGTTCATTGTTAAGGGGAATAGAGACTCACAATGATGACATTTCCACACATCATTAGACTCTGGTTCTTGGTGAAGGTACCGACAAAGTCTACCAGAGCTGGCCGCAAACTGGGTGGCCCAGTGAGAACTAGACACTGCGGCCTAACAGAGGTGAAAAAAGAAGCAAAGAGGGCATTTATCAGGAAGGAATAGACCAACAGAACAAAGAAACGTGACAATATGCAAACAGAGAAAGAAAACATCTCGATAAGGTGTGGAATACTATGAATATAAGGATTGCATATTACATACATTTGCCTCAAAAAGAAAAACACTGAATATGAATTACCTGTAATTCTTTATGTGGTGTTCTACCTGGTTGAGGCCCACACAGTAGGACAGTGCCATGTTGTATGAGCCTGCTTGCACTGAGGAGCCCCAGTTTACAGCTACAATATAAAAAGAAATTAAAAGGCTATGAGGTTATTTTTTTCTGTTATTTTGGGTACTTTTATTTTGACACCTCCTCCCATCTGGGCTAATTATAGTAACATCTGCTCATGATAGACACATTCAATCTCACAACCTTTTTAGCGGTTCAAATAAAAGCTTTGCTGCGTTTTGTCACGCTGAACATAGCCCAGGTTAATTTGAATGGGCTGTCTGAAGGAGGAGGGATATATATCGATTGGCAGGCACTGTAGATCAAACTGGCTTCTTTTGTTTTTCTATTGTGTGCTGGTTTGATGTCTGCTTACTACATGGAACTAAAGGTGCTCCTAAAGCCTCCTATGTGTATGAGGAGGTCTACTCCTGTTTTGCCTTTTAGATTTTTGTTTTGTTGTTTATTAATTTGTTTCATTTGTACATGTTTAATTTGTTTTGATATCAATTTGTAAGTCAAACCAAATGATTATCTTCTCTTATCTCTGTAGCCTCGTGGAGGAGAGTGGCTGCCCTTGTAAGGGGAGGAGCTCAGGGCGGCACTTATGCATGGTCGGCTTTTGATGCACTTCAGCTAATGTTTTTCTCCTTTTTGCCATGAGTGTAATTATGAACATGTGTGAATGTGTTTTGGACCCCATAAGTTGCTTTCCCCTTCCATATAATCTCCTCCAGGGAAGCACATTCTTAGGTATACGGTGTGGCCTGTGAACTCCTCAGGTTTTGTTTTCATTTGAGTCATTTTCTGAATGTGTGATTGCTTTTAGATTGAAATAAACTCCTGTCCTTTAATACTTATCAGTTGTTAAATTTTCAAGGTCACTGACTAATAAATGAAAAGTGAGTTATTTGTCTGATATTTTTTTTTTGCATGTTGCATGTTAACTTTTTGATATGTAATTTTATTTGGTGGTCTCACAGGGTTTCTTGTAGAGCACGTATCCCAGCAGGAAGAGCACTATCCCAATAGCAATGAGAGCAGCCCACCAGGTGAGCAGGAACATGATAATCACTGAAACCACAGCCCCCACTAGAGAAGCCCACTTGCTGTAGAACCGGAATGAGGGACGCCAACCTACACATAAAGAGCGTAAAGGACACATGACATTTATGCTATACAGTACTGATCACATGCTCTGTAATAATAGAATCAAGTGTTATACACTCTTAAAACATGTAGTGTGTTATTTTTTAAAAACATCATTGTGCCCAGAGTGTACTATAGCATAAGTGCATTAAGGAAGCCCAGTCATGCTGTCAAATAAACTTGATCAGTTTTCCAGCCCTCTAAATAAATGTTTAGACCAAAAATCACAACATTTTGTGATATAGTTTTAGAGATGTTGAACTGGTTTATTCCAGAACCTATAAAGCTTGATTCCCACATTTCCCAGAGTTACTTTGCAATGATCCAAATCATCTAGTGCAAGTGAGTTAAACTGATAAAACATATGATTTGTTCTGAGAAACATTCATGTGAACTCAAAACACTTTACGCCAGAAGATTTCAAAAAGTTTTGTAGGCTCACTCATAAATAATATTTACAACCAAGAACTCAACCAATACAACCAAATGTAAATCAGTGGAAACAGATGTGTATAAAAGTTTCTACTGGTATGATGGAGCTCACCAGGGGAGTTGGTGATGGAGGCATGGAAACAGCTGAAGTTGATGAGGGCATAGGAGCACAGGAAGAAGTTGGAGATTATGGGAGCGATGGTATTCAGTTCAGCTGAAATGTGATTGGATGGGGAAAAATATTTGTTAAGACTCCTACAGTATTATTATTTTTTATATTGGACTATGTGCACATACAGAACCTAATATTCCTTCTGAAATGTTTTTTGCTTACCAATGAGAATGAAGCAAACAGCAATGACATAAGTTAAGAGGTAGCTTCTGTATGGCTCATCATTCTTCCCATAGCCCTTCCCAAAAAAGCCAATCGCTGGATACAACTTGTCCTTGCATAGGCACTGTAGGATAGGCCAGATAAAAGCTCTGTTGTAATAGTCATTTCAAGTCCATGTTAGTTTACACTTTTCTATTTGAATTTTGCCATGTATTTGTAGCTATTTTGACCAATACACTGAACAAAAAGAGATATTTGATGACACATTTATCACCTGAAAGACTTTAGGTGCTGAGACCAGGCAAGCCAGCGCTGAGGACAGAGTAGCCCCAAATATACCAGCTGCAATCAGAGGTGCAAATCCAGACACCATGCTCATAGTCTAAAGTGAGAGAGAACAGACATTAATTTCAAAATCATAAATGGGAATTTCATTGACATTTTTCTGCATAATTAAATGGTTAAGATAAAAACAAAGCCAGAATGGCTTGATATGAAACACGCCATAGAGAAACTTACAGAGTGGAAATTGTTCTCAGCACTAATGATAGGGGCCAGACGTCTGATTAGTTTTATCCTTCCAAAAGATACCCCTTAGAAAGCTATTACACAATGTGGTTAAAAATACGCTGCGATAAGATTTTGGCCTAAATCTTTATTTTTAAAAATACATTCAGGGCGAGAGGAGAGGTACATAAAAGTTGTTGTGAAGCAAAATAGTACCCAAAGAATTAGGATTCACTGCCATTTTAAGTTTATATATAACAACCCATAAGACGTGTAGGTTCACTGGTCTTTTTGTATAGCAAATAAAATGGCTATTGCTAATTGTGTTACTGACATTGTGACTCCTGGTTTTTATCACCAGTCAGTATATTTCTCTACAATGTTCCATTTCACAGCAAAAACATTCTGAATGACCTTTACATCTTCAATAAACCTGTGAAATTCCCCTTAAACTAAGTATCTTCAATCAATCTGATATCCCTTAGATGTGATTTTCCTAATGAGAACTTTGCATGTAAGATTATACACTCTGTTTTTTTACTGCATTTACTGCATATAATTACTATATGTTGAACTGTTTATGAATTACTAGTGAAAGTCTTTGGGATTGGTCAGTACAGGGAGTTATCGGTACCTGGTAATAATTACTAAGGCCGTAACTGCAGGTCTTGTTGGCAATGCATTCACTGAAGTTCCAGCCATAGCTGCAGGCGGTCCCCAGGCAGTCTCCAGCAGCAGATCCAGCCATTATGGTGTCATTGATATTACCAGAGGCATCACGCAGTACACAAGAGCCTGATATAGAAAAGACCCTTAGAGCCATAACCAAGGAAAATACTGCCTTTCAGTGTATTGCGATGCATTGAAATCGATAATGAGCACCACCAGACATTCACTAAATAAGGAGATATAAAGTACATGACAATCAAAAGCAGAAGTTCGATCCATACTAGAAGTCAGATCTAATTTGTATTACTACCACTTACCAATGGTAGCTGAGATGACGAGATAAGACAAGGTGGTCCAGAAAATGGCCAGCATTGTGCCACGTGGTATAGCCACATTGGGATCCTACAAGCATATGTGCATGTGTTGAGTCACTTAGAAAGACAGAGCATAACAATGGGACAGACACGCAAAACTGAAATACAAAGGGATTCCGTGAGATATATCAAGATGCATGAAACGCAGCACAAGTATTCACATTTTTAAACAAATAAATGTGTTTTATGGGGAAGCTGGTGGGGCGAATTGTGCGTGAAACAAGAGGAAAGCTAAACTTGCCTTCAGGTCTCCTGAGATATTGGCTCCTGCGAGAATGCCAGTGGCTGAGGGGAAAAAGATGGAGAACATGCCAAAGAAGCTGCCCCCTGGCCCACGCCAGTTGGGCACAAAGTTTTCTGCAAAAATGTCCGCTGTTGGGCACAAAGAGAAGCATATTGTGCAACACATGAACTTATGTAATGTGTTGACAGAAAACATATGGTCCTCAATTCAGCCTGAGCACCAAAAGTATGAAAGTGAAAGTTTTTGACAGTTTTCAAAAACTGCAAATGTTTTAAGGAACATTGACTGCACCAATTTCTAACCTCTATAGCTGAAAAAGCCCTTGGCTTGCTTCTGTGGAGTGGCTGGGATGATGGTACCCACAATGTAGTTTGCAAAGGAGACCATGATAACCATGAAGAACAACACCTGGGCCTGAGAGATTGATTCATAAACAAACTTTGTGAATCTTAGGGTTTTTTTTTTCCAGAGGTTGTGTGTTTGAATTCTTTGAAAAAGCTCTTTCATTGTTTCAGCCTTTAAGCTTCTTTACACATCCATATCTAAAGCCTTGTTATTCAGACTACATAGAAAACAATGCAAATGATTGAGTTATTGTTAAGTGATAGCTGTTCTGATTTGCTGACTGGTCCATGAAAATTAAGGGATTATGACACAAACCTTTGACTCCCACTCCATACCAGCCAGTGAGATGGCCAGCAGACAGGTGACAGTGATTACACCAATGATGCGGATGTCATTGATGGGGTCTACCATGCGTGAACCACTCTCCTGATAGTGGATGAAGGAAGGAAAGAAGTTAAGGCAATGAAACACAGATGTTCATTCAGCAAGAAAGAAGCAGTGTTAGTTCACAGTGCCCACCTCCATGAGGGCTTGTACAGTTTCAGCAAAGCCCACTGTGTGCATAGCCACGGCTACTGCATTGGCAAAGGCAAAGATGAGTCCAATGGAGCCCCCCAGCTCTGGGCCCAGACTGCGGGAGATCAGGAAGTAGGTCCCACCTGGAGAAGAATCAGGGTGGAATTGTGCAACCCTTAGAATGGGTTTCTGACTAAACGTTTGGTGTCCCGCAATGTGACGGAGTCATGCCTGAGCTGTTTAGAACATTAATGAGCTATTTAGAACATTAATGAGTAACTGCCCTACCTCCTTTGACTTTGCCGTTGGTGGCAATGGCAGACGTGGAGAGGCCAGTGATTCCAGTGATGCAGGAGGACAGCAGGATTATAATCCATGTCAAACCTGGCGAGTAAGAGAGAGAACTTGATTTTTCTTGCATTCCATACATTTTTCTGGAGGTTCTCTTATGATATTTTTGTTTTATGTACAAAAACAGTCCTAATTAATTTTTACATGACCATTTTCTAACCATTCTTAGTCCCTTAGAATTAAACAGGCTGTTTTTTTTATGGTGCCCTTAAGACTGATATATTATTGCTGTCCAAAACAAGCACATTTTTTTCTGATTTAAATTCCTCTGCATCATTTGTGCACAGCAACAGTCCTTTACGTTATGTGGATTTTCATGATGAATTGACCAATAGAAATGCTCCAAAATTGGAATAAGATCTCTTTACATGAACTTACATTAATAGGTAAGAAGGTTTTTACCATCTTCTGTAAAGTTTCCATTTTACAGATACTTGTTTTAATTTTTTTGACAGTGATATGTAAATGATCTCTGTTCTGATTGGCTGCCTCACTCAAAAAGCAGTCCAGGTTGAAACACTTCCTATAACTTTGGCCTAAGTGGATGGGGAAAAACTGCTGTAGACTGAATAGGCAGATATGCAAATGTGCTGATTTCCGTGACATCATACAAACAGTAAATGCAAAGTGTTTTTGCAGTGTAGTTTCAGTATATAGACTGTATGGACTGGAGAGTGAGTCTACACCAGCTAGTTGAGCTTAATAATGTATTATATAAAAACAGAACAATACAGAACAGGATGGAGTGCTGTTAAAGTTAAGATCCAAAAGATTTTCTAAGAACTTATATGTATGGATTTTGCTAGATTATTTAGCCAGATACTATCATATCACCCCTTTACAGTAGATGTGTTTTTATAGTTATAAGAACAAAGAAGAAAAAGACTGACATACCAATCCCAGCTTGAGCTGTGATCCAGGGAAGCCTCAGGTACAGAATCACTCCCCAGATGTTGAGCATACAACGAACCTGCAGGGGAAAGAAGTCACAGAAGATCAAAAAACGTTATTTTTCCTTTTCCTCCCATTTTTCATTTTAAAAGCAGAACATATCAATAGCCCTAGGCCACCGAGATACTTGGCAAATTCAGGTTTTGTTCCAAACCCAAAAGATCTTTTACACAAAGTGATATTCACAGTGATGATATTGTCATATAACAATCACTAGGATTGTGGCTCTATACTGTATACATGAGTATAAAAGGGTCCTCACCATGACCCCCTGTACCCAACCAAAGCGAGTGGGCTCTGGAGGAGGTTCTGTTGGTTCATCCTCTGGGCTCTCTTTGTTGCCATTTGTCTCCTCATACAGGGGAGGTGGGGAGGAATCATCCTACAACAAAAGTTTACTCAAGTACTCATGTAAGAAAAGATAACAAACAATTTCACTATTATGACAAACAACTCAAACTAATCAAATATATATATATATATATATATATATATATATATATATATATATATAAGAAGACAAGGGAGAGGCCATAATCCCACTTCTGACACCAAATTCTTCTCTAAAATGCAAGTGGAGGCCACCACATTTGTATTGATGCCTGATATGGTATATGGTAATATGTATTCAATGATAGTTTTGCATAGATTATTAGATTTATTCTGCCCTGCGATGGACTGGCGACCTGTCTTGCATTCCACCCAATGTTTGTTGGGATAGGCTCCAGAACCTCCGTGACCCAGAAGGATCAGCGGCTTATATAATGTGTGTGTGTGTGTGTGTGTGTGTGTGTGTAGATTTATACAAAAGCAACAAATGAACACACATGACACTGTCAACAAATTCAAACTTTGTAACTATGACTTTGCAACTTTGCAACTAAGCATACATTATGTCACAGCCGTACATAAACTAACTGCACAATATGGATCAATACTGGCACCACCAGTCTGGTCGCCACTGCCTTTCCTACCTCAGGATTGGAGTGAAGCTGGAACAGTGATGGTCTTATTTTCCGTGTTCTCCCAAAAACCTCAGTGTTGGCATAGAAGTCATAACTTGGTGGTGAATCCAGTGTATCATATCCAGACAAAACAGCAGAGCTGCGGGAGGCCACTCCATTCACATCATAACCACCGTTCTCCTCCACAGCGTACCTACGGCCATCTCCACCATTGAGTGGTGGAGAGACAGAATACTGGCCTCTGAATGTCGTGAGGTTTATCACCTCATTAGACTGTGGAGTCTCCTCCATGAGTGGAAGGCAGTGTGAGTGGGGGACTGGGCTGAGTGGAAGGGTTATATTGCACCTGAACCGGAAGGAACTGCTCTTGGCTTTGGGAGTATAAGAACACCAGGGCCATTTAGGATTTTTTGTAATGGTCAGTAATTCTTAAAGAGTTGCCTGAGGGCCCGTTGGCTTGTACTTGAGCTTGTAAACACGATTAGAACACGGTGATAGAGATCTATGGCAGGATAACCTTCACAGAGCCTCTGAAGGACAACTTTGCTTCCTTAAAGTGTGACAAATTCTCCAATTATCCTGAGTGTCTACGGAAACCACAGAACTGCAAACAGGGTTGGGATGTATTGGAGTATTGGGAATACACATGCAGAATACAGAAATGAAGTATCTCTATTCGGTTAAAGTTACATTTTGTAAAGGCAGAACACAGTTACTTTAATATTTTTAAGAGAATAGTCTTAGAATACTTATCCACTAAATTTAAAAAATATATTCAACCGTTACAAGAAGTATCATCAATGCTTGTTTATGAACTACTTTAAAATCAGTGCACACCATGTAAAGTTCCTGCTAAAGCCTGAGTAGACTGATAAACCAATGCAATGATCCATTATTAATCTCTGCATTATTAAACTTATTTGAGTGAAAATAGAACTTAGAAATAAACTTAGCATCAGTCTTGGACTCAAGCATGTGTTTCATTAGTTACATACACGTTTTTACCTTAAAATCATATAGCAATCCACTTTATAGTAAAATGCAAGATTTTATTATTGGGATATAGCAAATTGTTTGCTTAGTTCATGAGGCAGCAGTGGGATTATGAGACCAGCAGTAAAGCAAAGCAGATGATCAGAGCCAAAACATTAATTTTAAATAAGTGAATTTTTCATGAAACATAATAACAAAAGAATTGCATGTAGAAAACTGCCACAGCTAACAGCAGGGAACAGTGTGAATTAAACAAAAATTACAACAGCAGAGTTTTCCCCATGTCTTATCAATATGCATTCTAAATGTATTCTAAATAAGTTACTCTTTATGTACTGTAAAGGATTACGATACTGAGTACATTTAGGACAGTGCATTCAGCTTTCAGCCATCACCACTTTTTCAAAGTATTCTGCCCAACCCCGACTACAAAAGACTGGTTATTAACATTAGAGAGAGTAGAGTGGATAATTGAAAGGACTGTTAATCTGATGAAGGCTGATTAAAGATTAAAGATAAATGAATGGTTTATTCAAAAGCTAATAGATTATATTCATTATATCCTTAAAATTAATCTGGGATACACAAGAAAACTAAAGAGAAATGCAGATGAGATGTAGCTTTTCAGTTCCATCTTTGGTGACCTTCACCTCAGCTGGTCATAAAACCATGTAAAACACAATGACAAATCATTATGTAGTTTCAGCTGAAAGACTTTCCCCTAAGGCCATGACTGATCATTCTTTCAGTTCCTCATTAACTTGCACTCTCAAGTTCACAAATACATGTGACCCAGGGTGCAGCTCTGGGTTAAGTAATTATTTCTACAGAAATTGCTCTGGAAGCCCCACTGCTGGGGCCTTCACTGTGTAATTAGAGCAGATCTCACAAAATCTGTCCACAGGTGCTCCCCTGATGGCTGTCTTCCTTCGAGCTTTCTGATTAATTTTCTAGAATTAGGCACACAAAAGAGATGGAGTGGAAGGGTTCTGCTAACTGGTCACTTCACAGCCCCCATACAACAGTTTTGCGGTTGTTAGATGTCTCAAACAGCTATGAATGGCAGGTTGGTTTCTAAATGCAAGCCAGAACTGCAACATTTTTTTCTCCACAGGGCACGAAAAACCAGCAAGAAAAGACGACGAAAAGTATAATTGTTATAGATAAAATAGATAAAAGACACAAGTTTACATCTTGCAAGGTTTTATTCCAAATTCAATATATTTTATAAAAAGGTACAGTAAACTCAAGTCCATATGGGTATGAAGGACATCTGAGGTAGTTCTTCATCATGGTGTCGTTGGTAGTAGTGTGGGGCCACCCTGGTGTTGTGAAATAGCCGGGTTATCGCGGACGTGTGGCATCGGCCTGATTCACAACACCAGCTGCAGCACACACACCTCACGTACTGGTTCCTTCGTCCACTCACTGGCATCTTGCTTGAAACTCTTATGTGGACATCTGATAGTCAGACTGAAAGTTTACCAGAGAATGATACAGCCATTCTTAACTGAGGATTTGTTTGAAAAACCTTCAAAGAACCTTTAATGCTTACATGGGAAGCAACAGTGGCTGGTACTGTCTGTACTGTATAATGCTTGGTTGTGTTACTAAATACTGCACTGTAATATGGTATAAGTGGTGAACAGTAAAGCAAGTGTAGCAGCTCCAGATGCTAGCGTTAAAAATGCAGAGCAAAGTCGAGTGTGAACAGAGGGCTGAGACAATGCAGCCAGGCGAGGCGAAGCCAACATGTCCATCTGTGTACGCTACGGGCATTTTCTCCATAGCTCACCATCTGCTCAGAGAATCAATGTCATCCACTAAACACCTTCTTCCGATGCACTCCCGAGCACACTTCAGTTTCTCTCTTAGACAACATGGCAACTCAAAGAACTCAAATGCCACAATGAGGCCATGGCCTTTGTGCAGCTGACTTGTGGTCAACCACCTGTTCTGCTATGATCTGACAGTTGGGTTCTCTGGCAAACTATGACACGTGCCTGTCTCCGCATCAAATATCATCAGAATATTAAGTGAAAATTTGCGTGGGAGAATTCAGTCATGTGATCTCTGGGTAGCCAGACAATTGTTTCCCACATTGAACCATACAGGTAGACGACTGAATAGGACCAACAATTATTTCACTCCAAAGTGATGAAATGAATCAAAAAAGATTCAAAATAGTCTTAACATAACTGAAAAGGCAATTAAAAAAAAACATGGGGTTGTAGTGAGAACAAAAGTAAAACAGAAACATATGGTGAACTGAAATTGGAGATTTTTTTATTATTTCAAAATTATGAAAAAATACAAATATAAATTCACACAAAGGGGAATGGAGCATGGAGAAACAAAAAAGGCTGATGGGACATGGGGAGAGAGTTGGAGATGTAAAAGAGAAAGAAGAAGCCTGAGGGTGCAGTCTCTCTTTCTCTCTCTTGCTCAGTTCATCAGGACCTCCATCTGGACCAGCCTGGCGTTAGTGTCTCCTGCCATGCGGTATGGGATCATCCCAGCAAAGGTGATCAGTGCCCGGGCCTGGCTGCGCAGTAGCTGTGCATATAAATGTAGAATATAGTGGGTGATGACAGTGTTATGAATGGATACATAAACCACCGCACAAGAACATCAAAGTATTGTTCCAACAACCTTCTTTGACCTTTGCCTTATGTCAGTCATAGACTTCATATTTTTAAGAACAAGACATTAAATGGCTTGTTGAGGGGTAATTTAATGAAAAATGATTTCTGGGTTACAAACAAGAGTATATTGGCTATAAATCACTCTCTCTTGCCACTCTAATTTAACCCTGTTTTCCTCACCGAGTCCCGATCCTCCAGCGGACGCTGTTGTCTGCCTGGTGTACCTGCTGTCACCCCTTTCAGGCGCTTGTACTGTGTGAACAAAATGTTCATGGTGGCAAGAAGCACCTCCGACAAATTATGTCTGACCTGTAGAGAGATTAAATAACAGAGTGAGGTGAACATTGTAAGTATGGAGACTACTGGCATCATGTCATATGTAAAATGTGAGGTTAAACACAAAGAATGTTCTAAGGAGTTGATGACATTACCTCATCACTGAAGTTTCTGAATGCTGCCACTCTCTCTTCTACACTGTCTTGGCTCAAAGGAACCAATTTCAGTCTCTCAATCACCTGAGAGACATAAAAAGTACATGTTAGAATCATGCATAATCACAACATGCACAGCTAGATGCAGATCTGATAAGATACTTAAGAGAGATCCTGACTTACGTCGTAAGCAAGGTCGATGTGGCCGGCATGGTACTCATCAAAAAATGTCATGAGGTCCAAGAGCAGATAGAATGTACTGTCCACAGACTTCTCTCCAGCTATACCATTAGTGCGGTACCTGTGGGGACAACAACCCTTAGCTTCAGAATCCCATACTCAAGCCCCTCTCCAAGATGAGCACCATGTCTAATGCACTATAATCCAGTCTGATGGAAGCTTAAGCTGTAGTTTGAACACGTGACTCGTCAGAGAGGTACAATGTATTCTGCAGAAGTGCGGGACAGAGAGATGCAGATACATCATGCCCAAAAGGGAAGAACCTTACCGTTCAGCAATGCCCAGCGCCATGTTCTTGAGCCGCTCTTTGTTGGACTGTGGTGCACTGACCTGGGCAATGACTGGACTCAGCAACCTGTTCATCAATTCCAGCACCTTATCAGGGTTCTATCACAAGCAGGACATAGAAATTAGGTGATGTTGCGAAGAAATTAAAACACAGTTTAAATCCTCAAACATGTCAAACACATGTGTCATGGCTTTGCGCACCTTGGCTAGCTCGTACAGTTTGACAGCTTCCTCAAACAGGCCCTTGTTCTCTGCCTCTGAGGCCACTTTGGTGATGATGGCCCGCGTGTCTCCGGCAAACTTGTCAATCACGCCAGGCTGAAAGGATTCACACAATCCCTTTTTAGAGGCGGGCAGAGTTTCAGAACGCACGTTTGTATTTTAAGACTTTGGCCACCAAAAGAACAAAAGAACACTGTACTTTGCGAGCGCTGAAACAATAGCACATTTTTACATCCCGTGTAGAGCTGAATGGGTACAATAATGAACGCGCGTGAGTACAATGAGTTGAAATAAAGCCACGGGGGAAGCTTTGAATAGAGGCATGATTACTGAAAGTGTTGTTCCAGCTGCTCGGCAAGTTAGATAACACTGCATGAAAGAGCACAGAAGCCAGAGGCGTACCTTTCTGCTTCCATCTTTTTCCAGTCTTCCCAGAAGCATGTCAAACTATAAAGGGAACAGGCAAGTTAGGAATTCAAAGAAATGTTATAATAAACTGCAATGGTTAAAGGAGCAAAATGTCTGAGCTTGCTCACTGCCCCACCCTACCTCACGACTCTCGATGACCAGTTCACTGACGCAGCGCATGAACATATTTTCTCCTTGGTTGTCTTTCTCGTTCCTGCAATCAATCAACATAAAGCATAGATGGAATATGAAACTACAAAATGTATCATCAAATATAAAACAGCTTCACATATTTTCAATAACAGATTCAATTATGTGGTTTCCAAAACACTGGACCAGTTTGAACACATCCTGGTGTGTGAAAATGGTTTAATTATTTACAGAGATCATCACGAAAGCATTCGAAGTCACTCATGAATTATTCATCGTTTCTCAGAGTAAGAAAGCAGTTCTCGCAGTGAAGGCAAAATGACTTCCAGTGAAACGACTGGCCCTTAACAAGAAAAAGGCTCAAACCAAAAGTTGATCTGAGGTCAGATTCATAGTGCTTCAATTAGGCTGGGTAGGGTGTCCGTACCGCAGGAAGTAAAAGTACTGCAAGGCCTCTCGTGGGTCTGTCGCCTCAAATTTCCGCGTGTAGAGCATGAGGAGGCGGATAAAGTTTAGCCGTCGCACCATAGGAGGATCTCCTAGTTCCTGACTCACTAAAAGAAAGGCAACAAATGAGATAAGGAATAAACTCTCAATAACATGACAAACACCCAGTAAATAATACAAAAACATCTTTGAGGGGTTTTATTTCACAGTCCCTGAACTGAAGTGCATCATGCAGACCCAACCAAACCCAGCAGACCCCACAATTTCTCCTCTCTAGACTGTCCTTAATCAGTTTTTGTCTTATAATTCAAAAGAATCGGAAAACATATTCCTGCACACAAACTTATCTATGCCACATAGATTAGACCTGAGGGCATGATAAGGACATGAAAATCAAGAGAGGACATGCCACTTAGTCAGATGTATGATTGCACTACCTGGTAAATAGCACTTCATCACATCTGACACCCACTTACGTAGCTGAGCACTCTGTCCTGACGACTTGAGCAGCAGTTTGAGCTCATAGAGCACGAGGGCCACGTGCACGGCGTGACTGCGCAGGCGCTCTACACGGAAGAGGAATGCCACGGCCGCTTCAAACTGCGCAGTCAGGAACAGTACCTGGAAGTACAGGAAGGGCTGCTGGCTGGCCGAGAAATGAGACTCACCTGTAGAGAATGATCAGAACAGCAATTAGAGCCCCAATACCCATTGAGTACAATAACAAGAGATACCACAGTGATGCCCTGTGAGTTTGCACCATGCGGCACAAACCAGAGTATTAAGGCAAGCATGTGTGGTTCCTCTGAGACATTTTAAACCAGCCACTGCCAGCCTTTTTTTTCCTAAGTATTGTTCATGTGCTGTCATAAAAGACAGCTTGATGCACTCAAAGACAGCTAACTGCCCAATTCCATGTATGTGCTCTGATGGGCAAATGCCCGTGATCAGCACCAGGAAAGATCAACAGGAAAGAAGAACTAACCCATCCTCATGGTCTCAGGTTAAAACACACATCCTGGCTATAGAACATAACCCTCATGAAGGATTTTCACTAATTTTAACATTGTGATAATAATCTACATTAAACAATGTTTCCCACACATAGGTTATACTGTGGCGATGCGCTCAGGTATACGGACATCTGACCAAGTATTGTTCAAATCATTTTAAAAAATGTTGAGCATTCTTATTAACCTGTTTTGAAAAAAAACACACCTTGAATTTGACCACTACATGAAAGCAGCTTGGGTTGTGGTAAGGCAAGAGCAAGGCAAAGTGAAGGAGACATAAGGAGAGCAAGCAGCACTTGGGTAAAGTTAGCCAGCCACTACACATAACTAACAAAATTGTCCTGGCTGAATCTGATTTCTCCTAATTCAAAAAAAATGACAAGATGTGATGACACTAGTCACTCGTCTAATGTTTACTTAACAGATGAGTACAGAGAAATCTTTTAACAATAAGCTGTGCAAAGAGAACAAGGAGAGAACTGTAGCTCAGGTACCCTGATGTGTGCAAATGTACGGTGTCATTCTCTTGCCAGAGTGTAAAAAAATGGCTGGCAGGCTATATGGTGACCTCCTGGAACAAAAAGGCTCAAAAACAATCTAACAAAGGTGATGAGCCAGGCACCTTGTCAGACCGTCGGTTTTTATATATTTACATTGCAGTACATAGTTTCACAGGAGAAAAATACATCACTGCTCACATAAAAAAAATCTTAGTTTTAAACATATTTGTAGATAACTGACATACCTACATGGTCCTGCAAATGAAAAACTGCATTTGTAAAAGCTTAGTGCAATTATTGGTTTTACCAAAGTATATTTCAAATCAGTGAGAAACACTGTTAACATAAAAAATGACAGCAAATTTTCCCACTAATGAAAAGCGAAACATTTAATGAAGGAAAACAATACAAAATCTCTGGGAGATGTACAACATATACATGCAAATCCAGTGAGGTGAGGATTTGCACCTTAAGGAAATTCAAATGCTTCTTTAAGCAAGTAATAGGTTCTGGTGAAAACCTCCGGTGCTGTAAAGCGCTTAAATGGGCTGCTTTCTTTCCATTTGCATGAGCTGAAATAATCCCCTCTCATTTAGGCTGCGGTTCGAGCTGCCGTCTTTAAAAAGAGCAGTGAAAAGAGCTGCAGCTGGGAGTGCAGTGGCCCTTATCAGCGGAGAGAGTCTTTAATGTGGCCTAGTAGAGGAGCAGCAGGAGAGATAAGCCTGACTCATCAGGCAGGTGGGGAAGAACGGAGTGCAACGCCTTTTAAAATACAGCGAGAGGAAGTTTTAAGCCAAAAAGAGAGAGCGAGAGTGTGTGCGTGTGTGTGTGAGAGACAGTGTGAGAGAGAGAGGGAGAGAGCACAGCACAAAGACACACTTTTATCTGGGACAGGCCAACTGGCGGAGAATAAATTTCCTTCCACCAAATCACTTCCTCAGAGTGGGGACTGAATCGAGGCATAAGCCAATGATTTATTGCCTCAATGGCTTGTTTTTGACCCAAGTGTCTAACATTTACAGCATGCCTGGTGCTTTGTGAACACAGGATTTTGGCCCCAATGCAGTCCTGCAAATTTAAATGAACTGCTGAAAGAAAGCTGAGAAATCTAAATCACAGGCCTGTGTCTCACCATAGTCCTCCAGCAGCTGTTTCTGTAGCTGGGCCAGAGTGAGCCTGTCCTGTGGAGCACTGCTGCCGTCATCATCAAAACACACCTGGTTCAGCTACAGGAGACAGAACAGGGCTTAATGCAAGACAATTGTCAGCAACACCACAGATCCATTCAGATTCTTTAATTTAAGCACTCCAAAACCAACAAAAGGACAATCTCTAATATCATCCTCACAACTCTGCAGGAAGTAGGCATGTCTGGAGAGTAGATGGGGTCTTACCTTGAGCCACAAGTAGTCCTCTGTCTTATCAGCCACTTCTCCATGGTTGTCGGCGATGTCACATTTGCCGATGAGGCAAAAAACAGCACGCTTGTAGGGATCAGCACTGTTGCGCAGCACACGCCGGTAATGCAGCCGTAGTTTATTCTCTGTAGCTGGAGACAGACTGTTTGACAAGAAAGACACCTTATTTCACATTACTGCATTACTACATTTGGTATACTGCTGTTAAAAAGTTTGAAATTCATTGCCATATTAGTAGCCGGTGTTATTTTATTCAATAATAACCTACATATTGTTGTGTAAAAATTTATATATTTATTTTTGTGCGTAATTTGAAAACTCTCACTTCCCACTGCATTGTGTTAAAATCTAATGATGAATGGACCAACAGAAATGGTCCAAAATCACTTATAAAAAATCTTATTATATTAACTACCGTTCTTCCCTTCTCCTGTAAAGTTACAACAGTGCTATATTGCCAGTAAACATACAATGTACAGTTACAGTCATAGTTTTTTGAAATTATTAGTAAATAAATTATAATATACTACAATCAACTATTTATACTAATCTGAAAGATTTGATCACTTTCAGACACAAGGTATTTTGGATGTCAATTTTATTACATCATAGTGTCACAGTTTTCTCAATGATTATGACCATCATCTACAGCTTTGTTCATTATTCTGGACAAATCAAGAATGTAAATTTTGCACAGCTTTCTACAAGTTATTTGAAACCTGTGAGGTTCTGGAGTACTAGCATAACATTAGAATAATTATGTACATCTATCTGCAACAGAACTTAATATATATAGTGTTATCTTAAACTCATGTTAAGTTCAACTTCCTGAACAGCACTGCTTAACAGGCTACTAAACAGTAATTAAAAAGTCACACAGACTACTAATTCTCTCACTTCAAAATGAACAGTTTTCTGTTGCTTAAAATTACAGGCAAGTGTTGAATCACAACCAAAAAAAGGGATGTGCAGGAGCAGTGAAAAAAAGAGTGTCAGTGTATTCTGAGTAGGTGTTCTCACCGGCGGTCGGGGCTGTTCATGTACTCCTGGAACCAGGTCTTGAAGTCTCCCAGCTGGTGCTGTGCCCGGTTCACCACATGCATGGCTGCAGACAGGTCTCCACATCGCAGGCAGTAATAGATCAGAGCCCACACTGGGTGCCCCTCCACCTCACCATCCTGTTCCCACACACACACAAACGCACACAAAAAACACACACAGCAGGGTTCATCTATCGGTCTTACAGCGTTCAGTTACCATCTTTTCTCACCAGCGCATCAGAACTAAGAGGCTTATTCGCTCATGCTGGGAGAATCCGTTGCCATGTTATCTGGAATGTGCACAGGCACACTCGAAAGCATGCAGGGCGCTGCTGCTGCGGGGCTGTGCTGAGCGTGGCGATGCAGCATTAGACTAGCTACACTCTGCTGTGCTGCGCAGTTTGGTGCATTACCTGCATGCCTGGCAGTGGGCCGGGCAGTTTGATGTTGAGGAAGCTGTGCACTAGCTGATAAGTGCCAGGTACTCCGCCCAGCTGAGCCTGGTGCAGGTTCCCGAACACAGTCACCATAGTGTAGTTCTTATAGCTGCAAAAAAAGGATACAATGATAGGAGTCAGATATTTATTTTGCATTATAATATAAATAATGCATTCTATTATTGTCTGTTCTGTTCCCCTGCTTTCCTCGGCCTAACCTGTTCTCCAAGAAGGTCAGGGCTTTTCGGACAAAGGCCATCTGCATCTCCACAGCAACGCGACTTTTCAGGGTGTCTTTGGCTGGCACCAGCAGCACATCGGTCATCTGCTTCACCATCAGCCACATGTCGGACACGTTCTACACGCAGAGTCACACACTTGTCAATATTATATTTACCCTTAGTGGTTAATAATGCGCTGAAGTGAAAATCGACTACAAAACACAGTTTCAAACGGCTGTCTGAGACACTGACCACTAACGTCAAGGTTAAGATGAAGGAGAAGATATGATCTGCTATGTCCGAGTTTTACCTTATCATCCAGGCTGTCGGCCACTGATGCACATAGGTCCCCCAGACTAGGCTGGACGTGTCCGTTTACTATCTTCTCGTTGAAGATGTAGATCTGAGGAAAAGAGAGGAGAGCTCTCATACACACTTTCATACCGAGAGGGGGAGGGCCACAGACCGACCAGGGCTAAGATCTGGTAGTGAAGTGGTGGACAATAAAAAACAAAACAAAAAGGATGAACACATTTAGAAAGTTGTCAAAAAAGACCATGAAGACGAGAAACAAGATCCCACAGGCAATATGACGGCACATGGTGAGTGGATAAAATAAACAATATGAAAGCGACCAACAAACAAACGAAATAAAAAAACAGAGAGAGGGAGAGATATATCGCCTTTCCCTTTGTGAACAGACTGAAAGATTACCCATAATGCCCCTTGTCAGCCAATCAATCTTTTGGATCAATTGCTGTGCTTGGCTTGCATAACATGACCTGATTTCGCCAAGGCAAATGGTACATAGGCGAGCCATTAGTGGTTAGCAGAGGACATCGCAGAGGCAGATAAGCTCATCATCGCAGGAAAGAGGTACACTGCACACACCTGCTTAGACTGACATCTCAATTTAAGGCACACATTTTCACTTCAGTAAAATTTTTCTTATGGCTAATTCATGTTTTCTATTGACATTGCCTTGTATCTGGCGCTCCTGGCCACAACATTTTACATTTTAGTCCCTAAATATGTAGAGCCAGTGGCCCAAATGGTCGTTTGCCTTGGAGACCCCCCCCTCTTTTAAAGAGTTCATATCATGGTAAACTGAATGTCTCTCAGTTTTTGAAATTAAAGAATTTGATGCGATATCAAAATTGCTTAAGTTTCAGAACACACCATTCAATCCTCAGTCCACATACACAAACTAAGCTGCAGAAATAGCCTGTTCTGAATTAACTGCTTTTGTGATATCATGAAAACCAACACATTTACATATATTTGCTTGGCAGCAGTTTAGCCCCCACCATTCAGACTGGAGTTTAAGAAGTGCTTTAGCCCAGACTGCTTTTATAATGAAGCAAAATGCAAGGCAGCCAATCAGAACAGAGGCCATTTACATATACCAATCTAAAAGGCACAGTAACAAAAGCAGCCTGTTTATTTCTAAGGGAGGATGGAAAATGGTCATGTAAAAATAAATCAAGACTGCGTTTTGGTATATAAAGTCACACAAACATTATAAGTGGATCTCAGGGGGAGAAAATAAAATGCAACAAAAAAAGTAGGACTTGGGAACTTTCAAATTTTCACATATTCACCATTAAAACCAAAAGCCATTTTTCCTCAGAACTGCATCAATTCATACTTTGTCAGAATTTGCCAACTATAAGGTTAACGTTACCACATCGATAACTAACTTGACGGCCAAAACAGACAGTTCAATGTTGAGTAAAAGAAAGAATGAATGCGGCTGGACTATGATATTGAAAAGGATGTGATGTTTGTCGAGCACGTCAGTTTCCATGAAAGGAAGCAAACATGTTTCTATGTGTCTGGCCACAAATTCTTTCATTTTGGTCACAGGAATTGTAGGCCAGTGTGAATTTTTGTGTCTGTCTACCTCTGTCTATGCCTAAAACATAAAAAAAAATTATAAATATGGGTCATTAAGATTCTGGTGTTAATATACAGGGTGATTCAAAAACATTCATCCGATTTCAAAATCATTTATTACACTTGTAAATCATTATAGAACAATGCAGTAAATTGTAAATGGTTTAAATAAGCATTTAGTTTTTTATGTAATTTTACAAGTGCTCAGTATGACCTCCTCCAGCTGTATGGACAACATCAATGCGATAGTCAAATTCATCCCATACTGGATTGAGCATTTCGGGTGTCACTGTACTCACAGCTCTTTCAATGTGATTTCGGAGATCATCCAGTGTTGTGGAACCAACAACGAATGACTGAAGGTAGTCATCTTCCAGTGAAATTCAGAAACTCTAAGACCCCCTCTTTCATTGGTATGTGATGGGTTCTTAGGCGTGTCCCGGTTGTAAAATATGGCACTTTGAAGTCGGATGAATCTTTTTGAATCACCCTGTATTTTTGATAGCAGCTATAATGCTTTTGAACTTGGCTGATATAGTATTGGTAGGTATATACATGCATGTGTATGCACAGCCTACTCACCTGTCTGCCATAGGCCACCTCCACACTGTCCAAAGCGCTGCGCCCAGGAGCCCCCACGTCACTTACAAAACTTGGCTGCATAGAAAACACATTTGCAGTCTGTTTAATTTCTCCATATGTAGGATTACACAATGAAAAGGCACTAAACTATTGCGAATTGTAGCTGTGTATGTGCGTGTGTGTGTGGGAGGGGGTCTGACAAGTGCAGGAGCCTGTGTTATCTCCAATTTGTTTTAATCTAAACGCAGCGACCAATGTAGCATGAAAGCCATTGTGGAGAACATAACCCACACTCGACTGCACATTATTCAATAGTGTGGGTACGCATACACAAACACACCTCAGGCCAAATGAGAATTTATCCCTTCATAAGAAGAAAGATCACCAATTTCTCTGGAGAAAAGCTTAGAAAGAGTCACAGAATATGCAACCTGCAGTTAAATGCAGTGAGTCTTTTGAAAATCAAACACGTGTACCTGTGTGTGCAGAAGGAAAGCCATAGATCTGTGAGGAGAATGAAGGAAAGCAGAGGAACAGACTGGGAAGTGAGAAAGGGGGTGATCCTGGGATAGCAAGTGAACAGCAGGACACACACGGAAAACGTAACTGCTGTTTAATATTTAAAGAAGCAGGAAAACACAGAACACACACACACCAAACGTGTGCCTCTCATAAGGAAATGAAATAGGCCAACAAACATATAACGTTTAACAGTGTTTCTTTCTTGGTCTCTGACCATTTAGGAGAGAAAGGCAGCCATTTTAGGAGCTCAGAGAAGCCTATATCTTCAAGTAGTCTGCATTACACCAACCATGGCCTACCTTTTTCAATGTTTATCAAACACTTTACTAATTCAAAAAATATACAAATGTGTAACAGATTATATCTAGTTTATACAACAGTAATAGCATAGTTATAACAACAACTTACAAGATCCTGACACAGTGTACAAGCTCCAATAGTTACTGCATTCTGCCACATTTCTCTTACCTTACATACGGTACTGAACCCCATGACACACTAGAGCACTGACCTCATGATTTATACAGTTGGTGACTCTTTCATAAAAACTCAGCCTATTCCTTAAACTTTTCTTCTGAGGCAACTGATGTTCATTATTAAAGCTGTTGGTAACTTGCAATTTGCACAAGGCCACAGATTTCCTTATGCTTGCGAATGGGAATGATTATACATACTGAATGAGCACAAGAGAAAAGCTTTCTCTTTAAATGTGTGAGTGAGAGCACATTATGAAGTCTACATGATGACAGACATGATGCATTTCTATAGGAGAAATTGATTTAGAATTAGAATGCCCTTCATTCCATCACACCCGCCTATGCACAGTTTTAACGTAGTGAAGAACCAGGCCACACATAGCCAGAGGCTGCAAACATAATGTCAGGCCATGTCCTGCATGTGGCGATATGTTCCACTAAAATGAATATGTAGTATCATATATAGTCTTAAACACTGTTTGACTGACGTCTGCATGTGTGTGCTTACGTGGTCTTTGTGTGTTGTGTGTGTATGTATGTGCATGTGTTTGCAGACCTCCACATCCTGGCTGAAGTCCAATGCATCCTCTCCTGCTCCCAGCAGGGTGTGCAGCACTCTCTGCTTCACCTGCTCCCACTGCACCAACATAGACTCGCGGTGGTACTCTTCTGCCAGCAGGAACGTCTGAGAGAGAGAGAGAGAGTGGAAGGAGGGGGAGAGAAGAGATGGGGAGATAGGAGGAGGGAGGGAGGGAGGGAGGGAAAGAGAGAAAGAAAGAGAGAGAGGGAGCGATAACACACATGAAGGAGAACAGTATGAGAGACTCAAAAGCCCCATTGAATAAATAGGTTACCCACCATGTGACGCATTAAAAATAGCTGGCAGAGTGGGAGCGGCCTGGACCTGTGAGCTTGCAGTGCGCAATAAATACTAACGGCCATTCCATCGCCATCTCCCTCTCCATCCAGGCCATGTCTTCCAGGGCTAGGCCAGGGAAAGAGACCCTGACTTAGAGCATCAATGTGGGTCTGGTCCTCTGAAGCCCAGCCGTGTGAAGGACTGCCTAAGGGAAGTGTGCCACTAACTGGGTCTGCCTTCACGTTTGCTACAGATTTAGCCCAGACCCTGATTGAATCCAAAGACCTTTTGTCTATTTTACTTGCTCCCGAAGGATCTGTGTGTGATAATTGTGAGCGCTCTAATTAAAGCTGCTCCTGAACTGAGTAAGAAATTATTTTAGAGTCGTGTATAGGCAGGTGGGGGGAGGAGATAATATCAGCAAGGTGACGAGTTACCACCAAGTAAAAGAAAAGGCTTGAGGTTGCTGTTATGTACTTTATTGGTCCTACAAGGGAAACTTGTCATTTTACTGCCTAACTACACCCAATCTGGGAGCAGCACAGCATCGCCAGCAAGGCAGCACCACTTGGGGCAGTCGGGGATGCCTTGCCCAAGGGCATGACCAGGTGTACCTGGTCAGTTGTGGGATTTGAACCCACAACCTTTCGGTTGATGGCTCACTTCTCCTACTGCTAGGTTACTAGCCACCCCAGGAGACACATGTAGGCTATATACAGCAAGATGAGTTTCCTCTTGACAAAACTGCAGTCGGCTCTAACTGATAAAAAAAAATGTGGAAATAAAACACGGAGTAAAGATCTTGATGCGTCAGTCTAAACTTTCAGGGCAACTTCTGGGTTATTATTGTCTATAGAGCCATTCCAGCACAAAGCGCTTCTGTATCACAGTGAGGTAGCGCAGGTCTTATGACCGTCCTCCGCTTTCCGCTTTTCATTTGGTTGTGCCTCCAACCCTCCCGAATCAGAAGACTAAATAAAGCGGGGAGACATAGAGGATATTGACCCGGCCGAGGTCTGCTCTCTGACTCAGAGAGAGATAATGACAGGCGGGTGCCTAATATTTTTACTCCTCTGATAGCTGTGCAGGAGCAAATATGGGTAGAAGAGGCACTGACCTAAAACCAGCTATGGTATAAAACCTTCTCTAGCCTAGAGAGATCGGGGGGGGGTACCTTTTTTAACAAAGATGAGACATTAAGAGAGATGTATGAGGCGGTACCTTCATGGTGATAAACACTTTCTGTATCTAAACTTCTTGTGACAAAAAACAGCAAAACCAAAAAACATTAAAAATTCAGATAAAAAGTGATTGACAGTTGGGTTATAGTAGTGTAGATGGACAAATGGATTGATGGTGAAGTGAAGCCAGAGACTTACCCTGCGTCGAGACTCCTCAATGGCGGACAGGAGCGCATTGTCTCTCTCATTCTTCAGAAAGCCCTGGAACAAGAGACACGGCCTGGAGGTTAAACGCACTGCAACCTACTTTTCCCCTCTCCGCATGCAGAGCACACGCCCTCTCTCTCTCTCTCTCACTCGATCACTCTCCCTTCATCCTCCAGGGCTCGAGCGCCACAGGCCAGAGATGGAGAATTGCCATCATTATCACAATCACTGCTAAAAATGTGCTTAGAATCGACCCTGCACCATACTGTAATTCCATTCCTGCAAAATGGTGGCGCCAGACTAGCTTCAGCTGCTTCAGAAGAGCTTCAGTTACATTCTAGAATGTTCTAGAACAACTGCGCACTTTCGACAACCCGCATTTACGCAAATGTACGCATTAGCGTACAGAGAGCTACCCACAGAGTAACTAATTGATATCTACAAGAGCTTTACCACAAAGCTTTGACTAAAGAAATGCAAGGAACAAAAAAGATCTTTCTTCGCAAACTCTTTCCATGTCCAAACTGATTTTTCAGTTTGGTAAAGTCTGATAAGACATATTACATATAATAGTCTTGAGAAGAATGTCAGAGAACATCTAGTTCCAGCGTCTGGGTTGGTTATTGTTGTCTTCCAGGAAACCACAGGTTAAAACACTTTCCATAACCCAAGGAGAACACATGACTGCATGTTGCCTTAATCTTCATTTCAGGGGTAAAAGAAGGACACCTTTACCCAACAGACACCAATCTGCAGAGGAAATCACCCACACATTGTTGCAAGCTACACCAGATGGACTCAACCATAGCTGGCCACAATAAGATTTATAAAACTCGACTGCGAAGAAGAAACCGTGTGGCTTTAACATAAACACGTATACTGAATGTACCAACAAAGGCGGCCGAACATACGTGCATGCTCGCTCACACGCTTGCTCATTTCGTCGGAGCACAGAGCAGTGAAAACCCGTCTGCTGCGCCTGAAGATAGAAAAACATTTTTGCAGACAAAATGAGCACATTCACTCTCAGAGCAGAGCCTCACACTGGCACAAGACAGCCATCTGCAACACGCACAGTGGGGGTTGGGGGAGGCAATGGTACACATATCTGAGGGCAGTTGGCAGTGGTCAACGTCGAGGTTACAATGAAGAGAGTCAGAATGCAGATGGGTGGGGTTGAATGGCGAAGCATTCAAATACGGCCACACCATACGCCTACTGGACACCTCACAAAGCCTTTCGAGCAGTTATTCACCTCACCAGCATCACCAGAGCCGAGGACGTAGGATACTATCCACAATCACGTGTCATCCCTCGTGCCATTCCATAGTGTGACTCATTCAGAGCACTGTCTTCTTAACAAGTACCACACCCCTTTCGGCTTATCATTACCTTTGACTATGACTTTTCCGTAAAGTGTTTGCTCGTATGCATTTTCTACAAAAGCTGATGAACGTATGAATTCATGCATTCATTCTTTCTGCTCCTGTATCTTCAGGACCAGGCTGAAGCCTGTCCCACCCCTCCCCCCCTCCCCACTCCGTTACTTCCCTTTTCACCAGCCCCTCCTCCCCAAGCTCAAACCCTCAGCACCCCATAGCCAGTGTGTGCCTCAGATGCCCCCGTGATGGACAGCTGCAAATGAGGATTGATTTATTGTGACTTCAGGAACGCAGCATCTAAATGACACGTGTGAATGAAGGATAGGAGCTGATAAGGGAAGGGGGGGTGGAGTACATGGCCGCTTAGAGACCTCCTCATGGGCCACAACTGCATGCAAATTTGTCCTCGTTCCATACCCAAAGGAAAAGTGGAAACAAATTAAAAATGACCCACTGCTGGCTTTCTGGCCAGCTAATTTCTTGCTCAGTCATTGTGGCCCTGTGCACTCCAAGCAGGGCAATGGGAGACATTAGCGCCACCCACTGGCTATGAGGCTCCACATTATAGAAGAGGTTCTACCCAGTCTGAAAGCCTTCAACTGACAATAGAGCGTTTTATTCTATATTAAATGGAGCTTGGGTCATGCCTTAGCCAGGAAAAGCTACTGACAAGGAACTGCATAAACTATACACATATCTCCTTTGATACTCTAACTGGTAGCATCCTGTTAAGGGCTCTATTGCGACATATTAACTCTTTCACTTTTTGGCTTGCATATAACTGAAAATTTACATTAAATCATTATAACAAATTTCTGTGGCACACAAAGAGAGCAGCTCACACCCAAGCAGCCATGCACCCGTACAGAGCACTGCACGTAGGTGGAAAAAGGGTGTAGGAACCCACATGAGAAGCTTCTGATATTTTTTTAGAATGATCAATATATGAACTCGTATACGGGACATAATTCACATTACGATCTCCATTTTAGTTTGGCATGATGTGCTTCGTCCATACATGTTCCACAGAGCTGACACACTATATATAGGCTGCTGTGTTCGTGGACCACAGCACATACACACTGCGTATACTTTCTTTCTGAATAGCCTTTTTAACCTACACACACACACACACACATTATATACATATACACATACATACATACATATATATATATATATATATATATATATATATATATATATATATATATATATATATATATATATATATATATATATATATATGTGTGTATGTATATATATATTCTTATTTAAAACAGTCCTTCGATGAGATCATGCAACACATATGCACTGCCAAACATACAGCAAATAGACATCTGGGCAACAAAGATCAAATGCAGGCAGCTTGCTGGAGGACGATTTGAAACATAAATACTGATTCATACAATCATACTCTACCTGCAATAAAATCAGTTTTCTGAGGAGGATCCTCTGTCTACCCACTACTTCTCAGCTTTCACTTCTGAACAATGAACAGGAGAGAAACCCCACCCTAATGCCACCACTTCCTGTATGGCAAAAGAACCTTCATCATCATGATCATCATTATCTTCATCATCATAATCATCCTCCTCCTGCTCTTTGGAGGACACAGGGTGAAAGAACTGACAAAGAAGTGTAATCTGTAGACTCTGTACAGCATGTGTGTGCATACGCATGTATGTGCTGAAGTAAATGTGCATATATCTGTGTATATGTAGGAGATACTTACTCATGCTGTGGCTCAACCTGTCGGCGTGGAAGTGCAGCGAGTTGCAGGTAGCCGGCAGCGTTGTGTGTGGCTGCTGCCAGCACCCTCTCTCTTCTCCCTTCGCCTCAGGAAGTGGGCCAGCGCCATTCGAGGGCGTTTTCTGACCTCGCTCGCCACCGGCCCACACTCTAGTCTGCCACACATAGCCTCCCACCCCATGCCGGCCCAGTGGTCTGAACCCAGATATGTGCCACGAGCAGGGCTCCTGTGGGCTGCTTTATTGTCGGAGGAGGAGCGTACCAAGTCGGCGTTTAGAAGAGGGGGGGAAACTGAGGAGGAGCGATTATTCAACCTCAACCGTCTGCTGCTCTCCATCACCCACCCACCCCCTCCCTCTTCCCTCCAGCATCCCTGCCATCCTCCTCTTTCAGTCTCACTCATTTCTTCCTTTTTTATACATCTCTGCATCCTTCCTTTTCCACCACCCCCCCTCCCCTAGCGCAATGCAATTATGGTAATGGATTTTTTTTCTCCCTCTCCTGATGGCTTCCGACATCCTGTCCAGAAATTGGGCTAATAATCCTCTTAAGAGTCATGTTTAGTTAATGAGAAGAGTGCAGTGGCTTTGGAGGAGCAGGGCTGGCCAGGGCATACACAAGCACATGTACAGCTATTTCACCCTGCTGGAGTGGCTGCATTTATCACTGTGTGTAACCAGACAACAGGGGCTGCTCTCAGGGAGAGCAAGAGAGAGAAGAGAGAGAGAGAAGAGAGAGAGAGAGAGAGAGAGAGAGATAAAGGGGGGGGGGCAGAAGGCAGGAGAGATGGGAAAAAGAGAGTAAAACAGAAAGAAGAGATGCATTGGATGATTCCGCCATCTTGCTGCTATACTGAGATGTCTCTCCATACATTCACTACATGCTTACAGCTACAGCATCATTCCAGTGCTGCTACATGCGTATTCTGTCCTTCTCAACCACCCTTAGGTTTGCCTTCTCTCAATACACCCTTTCTTATTTGTCTATAGCACTGACTACATCAAACCTTATAGCCACATATACTAGAAATACTAATCCACAGCTCTTTCCTTATACCAAAAAATTGTAAGTCAAAGTCGAATTTACCAGAACACACATGTGCATGCACACACGCAGAAAGACAGGAGCGGCTACGCCTCATCAGCAGTGTGCATTTTCTTTGTCTTCAGACAAGCAGCTCAGCAGCCTTGGAGAGCAGCATACATCACAATAACTTAACAAATGTGCAGACCTCAAAATATTTCTCTGACAGGCTTATCATGCAAACACACATGCATGTATCTTTTCAAAAAAGCACCTGCATATTGTTTCAAATTTGTTATATTTCACAGATGGAAGGGAAGATATTCTATTGTAAATGCTTTATATACTAAATTGACCAGGCACAGTCATTTAAGATGCAAAGAAACAATGTTATGTAAAAAATACAGACTAATTCATTAAGGATTAAACCGTTAGATGAAACACAACAAATCTGCAGCCTTGTATGCCATGCAGTAAGGCATATGTGCACTAAAAAATACTGCTCATGGATCAAAGACATACAGTCAATCCTGACCAAAAAAAGAGAAACCCATAAAGAGAGAGAGACAGAAAGAGAAAGAGAGAGAGAGCGATGAGCTTTACTGCCAGGCACTAAGTGCACTTCCAGTAAGAGGCATACTCTGGCAGGCCCTACCACAGAAATATCTAGGCTGAGGAGGTAGGGTGGTGCAGGCTTGCGAGAGGGAGGGGGGAAGCAGCGAGCCTTCAGGACATGATACAAAAACATAAGGGGATCAATAAGCTAATCTGATGAATCAACAAAACCCAAGTCTATGGTTTCAAATCTATAAAATGCATACCTATAACAAAACTGAGCAAAACCTATCATTTACAATGCACACTTATGATAACTTTCAGTGATCCTGCGTGAAATAATAGGACACTCCTCTCTGTAACATTTACAACAGAGAAAATTAGGCTGCCGCTGCTGGGTGCTGAGCAAGACAAAGCCTCAAAAAAAAGCATACATGATACAGATGCAAGGGCTAATCTTTCATGCAGTACTGTTACTCAGATTAAATATTTCACATTGAAATGTCTCATCCCATGTCTGGGTTTAAGTCTTAAGAAAGAGCCGCACCACCAGCTCTACATCCAAACCCCGACTCTAAGCTTTCCTTCTGCACATAAGATAAACAGGATTGAAACCAGAAGACTGACACTATGAAAATTGTCTAGATGTAATTATTCATCCGCTTGTGATTTGCTTCAACAGCTGAGCCTGAAAACTAGGCCAAATGCTACACACAAATACAACACTCCAGTTTACATTCATGTTAGATCCTCAGGTACTGAGGATCAGGAAAAAGTAAGTCACATATTCTGTACCAGAACAGACAGCCAGATCTATGACCTCATACTCTCTATGTGGTCACTATTGCATCATAGCATGACTAGCCTTTATTTCCAAGTAACAGGCCTATTATCTGGACTTTATGTACCACCCAATTGGAAGTGATTTTCTCCTTTAATAAAAGCATGTGATCTCCTTCTACAAATCAAAACTGTCTAGACGTGATGCACTGAAGTAGCGCTGCCAGACAGGAATTTTCCATCCATATGTGGAACTACTAAGAGTGTGCCCGATTCTATGCCAGTAGCGCAACTGGCCATAAATATAAACAAATACCACAGAGTAAGCAACATGTTGATAAAGCACCTTTACATTTACAGATGCTAGCATTTTCTTCACTAGCCCTTTTCTGTGAAAGTGAAAATCATGGTTGTTCCTTTAAAGGAGACTGTGCCGTTAAATTTTTACTATGCGTTTACACACTTTCTCTTCTGCGACAACACCTAACAAGTAACTTGTTGAAGAAAAACAAAGTGATACACTTTGTTTTTCACTTCAGTAAAAGTTGTGCTTGTAGTATATTTCCTCCTTTAATTTTGTCTGAAGCTGCTTAGACTGATGCCTTTTGTCTAAGACCATTATGCCTAATGTCTGGTGTCGCTAGAACTGAGCCATGACAGTTCCTTCCTGAACCTGAAGCATCCGAAACCTGATGGGGTGTTCTGAGGATGTTCTAAAATGCACACCAGCAATTTGTACATTTTTTTACCACATGTGTTGCATGTGCAGAAAATACATCTACATGCTTAACTGGAGAATATTTGGCATTACATCCATGGGCTAACGACAGGTTTGTGGTCCTTCAGACAAAGTTGATAAGCGCACCATCACCCCCTGCTCTGAGCTCCGCCTTCATGAGGCACTGGACTGATTTGGCAATGTTACACTCAGCTTGTTCCCAGCTGCATATGCAGCCTTTATTTTGCAAAGGTGATTTCCAACTTGCTAGACTGCACCATTGTATGTTATATCTGGTCTAAATTACATTTTTATGAGGCTTGCCATGAACACATACACAGCAAAAGGGCTCTGAAAATGGACCCTGTTTACACCTGCCATTAAAATGCAGGGTCAGTATCAGAGCCCACAACTAAAAGCTAGGTACTTTTCCTGGTGTTCAATTTCTAATGACAGGAGCCAATTGAGGGTGCCTGTGAACTCATCAGGAAAGTACTGAGCAAACAATGCTCTTCTCCCAGAATTTCTCAATGTCCTATTACATTACTCAAAAAGAAAATGGGGCAGGCTTCATACAGGAAGCCCAAGTAAGCCTCATCTGCCTACACTGGTATACATCATGCAGTACGAGAAAACTAAAGAGGAGAAAAATTATGCTAGGAGGTAAAAAAAAATAAATGAACACAAAGCATTGCGAGTTACATCCCAATCAAAAAAACAAAACATTATTCTCCATTTATGGAGAATTTCTTAGCCTGGTCTGATACAATCCAGACCAACCCCATTCTGAAGGACGTTTTTTTTAGTATCTCTTTTTTGCTTTGTAAGTTAAGTGCCCTTGAAGAAGCATAAGTGGTCCTCAAAGCAGGTGAAGTGGCAATGACAAAAGGAATTGAGAGGTGATAGGACTGCACCAGCTACCAATATCTGCAGCCTCCTAGCATTTCATTCGGCTTATTCAACTACACAACAGCAAGGTATTATTCATGCCTGGGGACCTATTAAAATGTCCATTTCTCTACTGTTGGGCAGCAGTAGGAAATACCAATCTAACTGAAGTGATTATTAACAGTGGCAATAATGAGAAAAGTTGTATTTAGAACATGTGCTGACCAACACTGGCATGCAAAATACCACTGAGGTCTGCAGAATCTAATGGAGAATCTATTCTAATATAATACCTCATATTCATGTTCAAGTGTTTTACTCAGTTTTTTCTTTGCTGTAGCAATGTTAACCTTAGTCTAACGTTAGTATTTCAGTCAGTGCTAGGTATACAGTAAGCGGGTTAACTAAAGCAAGAAGTGGGCAATAGTCATATCAAATATTTCACAATAACTTTTTCCAGCAATGCAAAACAGCCATGTCCTGTATCTACTTACTTACAAAAAAAGCACCACTTCCTAATTATGAAGTTGTAGAAAAAATCTACATAGAAAAATCCAAGGGCACAAACACAGCAGCTGAAAGGCACTAGGAAAACCATAAAACTCTTAAACCATATTCTTACACTACACTAATAACTGCTGACATTACATTAGCACCCTAACAGACCACATCATAATGTCTGTAAACACAAAGGCTGGTAAATAACTTGCATCCGGTCAGTGGTGGAAGCAGCTCATTTTAAGTTGTGGTAAACATGAAAAAGACTGAACAAAAACATTGGCAATAACAGTAAAATCTTGTTGTGTTTGAGGCTGTAATGTCGAATGTTATCAAGAACATAAAAGTTAGTGCTTTTTCCATTTTCCAACAAAAGCAGCTAGAACTGCTTTAAGTTTATTAGTCTTTGTAAGGAACAATGAATGCACAGCACTGTAAGATCAGCACTAAAATAATGGCAATTCTCAAAAGCCTGATTTGAGCTGGAGTAGTTTTCCCAGAGGAGGACCAGTGATGTAATTTGTGTGTTATTTGACTGGTTGATTCATACAGGATAAATCATCTGTGTAAGTTTCCCAAATTACCCGGATCAAATCCGGACTTTTACCTCAGCATTATGCAACACACATCTGATTACAAAACTTTGTTCACGTTTTCTTATTACCTGGTTTTGTTATTACATTTCTGTGATGTTGATTCAAACAGGACTACTATTACTGAATGAGCTTTGAGTTTAGCAAATTACAGAAGGTAATTCACTCAGGAATTATTACTTAGCAGACTTGAAAAACTACAGACATGGCACATTCATACTGGATTAAAATCACAGGTCTTGTCAGTAATCACTCAAATTCCAGCACCTACATACATACCAGAGATACATTTCCAGAGATGGTATGTTTTCAGGAAAGAGATCATCCACTTCCAGTTGAATAACCAACTAATTTAGTCATAATTAGTAATCTTATCCAGATCGATGTATAAAGAACTGATAAAAAACAAAGCACTAGGCCTGATAATATCAGTCCATATTAAAACATCACCCATAAAGCACCAATAATTTGTGAAAAATGCTAAATTATTAAGCTTGTTCTTTTATGCCTCATATGACAATGCACAGTGTCTCTCTGTCTTGCCAAGAAGACATAACTGCAATGGGACAAATAAACAGCAAGCAATGATCACTGATAAGTTTGCTGTCTTAAAAAAAAAAAATAATAAGCTGCCCTTTGTCTGTAGGAAAAGACATCTGAGATTTATAACAACATTTTCAATATCACAAGTCTACAAAGCAACGTAGAGTGTGACATCTGGACATGGAGTTGTTGAATTTGCTGAAGTGACTCCCTGTTGTAAGGAACGTAGGCAACAGTGTGACAATTCCTCAATGGAAGTCAATTTATTAACAACACGCTAAGAAAACAATAGTTTTGGTGACGTGTAGGGGCTAAGAATCACCAACGTGTTTTTTAGTGTTTATTAGAATTGTCTTGCACTCAAAATCTCAACCAAGTCATAGCTTGCATAAGCTTTCAGTTGTTCCATGTACATCTACCTCCCTCACCTGGATATCTGCATCCTTCACTGGTTCCAGTGGTTCAAAGGTTGTGGCTGCACTGAGACTCTCCAGGCGCTGTGAGATATGAAAGATGTCCAGACCTCTGGAGCCCAGTAAAATAGAGCTGGAGGGAACAAGAGCAATTATATATTTATGAATAAAATTATATGTTTATTAATATCTTATTTCATCAAAGCTAGGGCCATTCCCAGTCAAATCACCCAAGGATCAACTTTCCAATAACTCACCTAAATAGGAACTAATGTCTGTTATAAAAATGGCTTACTTCTCTGTCCAACAACAGGAAAAAAATAACATTAATTAATAATAACAGATGGGTGACAAAAAAACAAGAATAAATGAGAGGAGTAACATAACAAGTGCAAATGCTTCCAGACAGGTGTACTGCATAACACAATTAAGCTATTAACATCCTGCCATGCTCTGTGGCATGTATCAAAATGCTAAGCAGGTCCAGTTGACATTGGTTTTGGGAGAATAAGGAGGTTTTGGGAGAATAAAGAGACTCAAAAAAACAGTTCATTGTCAAAGACTGCTCAACTGGCCAGTCTTTCAATAGGTACAGTAACTAAAATGACACCTCAACTTACACCTACAGGAAAGACATCAGCTAACAGGGTTAAAAACGGTGGTGAGAAGTGCACCTTCAATAACTCGGATGCTCAAGCAATGCAATGTATAAGGAAAACATACGAGAAACTGTTCATCAGGTCACTGAGAATGTCATTGCAGGACGTGATCAGTCTGTAAAAACAGATCATCCACAACTACACACAGAGGGATATTATAGCAAGGCTACAATGCATCAAACACTTATTACAAAGTTGAACGCACATCTGAGTGTTCAGTGGTACAAAAACCGTGAACACTGGTCTAAAAGTGATCTGGTAAGATGAGTCATCCTTCACCAAGTCCTCATGTGGCATACACCAAGAGAACAGTACAGGCCTGAATGCTGACCCAACAGTGAGGGTGTCCAGAGGTTCCAATATGCTGTGGGGTTGGGCTGGGTAATATTAGGTAGGGTTGAAGTATTAAAAAAGAAAAGAGAAACACAGACTCTAACTGGCTCCTTGATGCATGAAGCCCGAAAAGACAGCACGCACAAGTATGTCACACGGTCAGAGAGGTCCAAGTTCTGGTGCTATGTCGTACAATTTAACATTAGATAAGAACAGCTCCTTGTGTGGCAAATACTTTAAACTAGTAGCTGCCAAGTCAGGTAATACAGTCTCTCCTTTGCCTACGTATCAGATGAAACATTTAATAAAAAATAGGATTTATCTCCATCCAGAAAACTGTATGAACACCATCCCCCACCACCCCCAACGCTACTCTGTCGCTACGGGAGAAACACAGCACAACCAAACACAGACACAAATGTTTTCAGGGAGAACATATCAGCATGTAAGATGACAGTTTACAAGAGGAAGTTAACTACTTTTTTTTCTGTTAGCACCTGCCATTTATAGGCTAGACAGCTGGCTATTGTGCACTGTGGGACTGGATGTATGGATACATTAACACAATAATTTTTCATAAATGAGCAGTGTTAACTACACTGTTATGTTTTCATGTTGTAGGTGAGAGTTTTCTCTGTGTTGGAACCAGTTCTTCTCGATCTAATGTGGTTGTCCAAAGTGAAACCACATCTTTCACTACAGCAAAAAAGTTAAAAAAAAAAATACAGCCTTTTTTGTGTTTTTAAGCTCCCTGGTTTAGGCACGCTAACTGGGTGGAGAGTTTTTTTCCTGTGATGCATGATTCTATTTAGTGATTGTTCACCAGATAATAAAAGTCTGATTATTACCAATCAGTGATTAGTAATTAGTAATTATTAGTAATTAGTAATTATTAGTATTATACCTTAATTAAGGAAATGTAAGATATACATTTTACCCTCTATTTTCATTTTTTTAATTACAGCTTTCTGGTGAAGTGATTTGCATAAAGGATTTTCCAAGAAGAAGGGAAGATGGAATTATTCATAAATAATGATTCTTAAAAGAATGATTCTTCTGTACATGTATTGTTGGTCTTACATATCTTGTTTGCTTAGTTACAGAATTCATCCCCATGTGGGGGGAGTTTTGCTGGTATGGTTGGGTCCACTTATGCCATTAACGGGAAGGGGTCACCATCATCAAAACACTGATTGAGGGAATACCTTTCAGAAGAATGGCATTCCATCCCAAAAGCACAGTTTTAGAGGCCTGTGATATAAATTTATATCAAAGTGCACTAAAGCTGTTCTGGAGGCTCTTGGTCACCCAGCACCCTGATAAGACACTGTGACGTTTTTTTCCTCTAATTCACCACCTGTGTGTACTTCGGCTTATAAGTAATAATCACACTGGAGAAATGGAAACAGGGGTGGGGTCAGGTGAGAACTTACGCTTTGACGTCAGCTGTGTCTTGAGAGGTACGTGTAAGAGTGCGGGAGCGCAGCCTCTCTCCGGCTTGCTGAAGCTCCTGCAGGTTCCGTTCCACATGGGGCAGCTCGGACACGGCCTCTGTCTCTGCTGCCAGCTGCTCTGCTTGCTGCAGGAGCTCCCCGAAGCCCTCGGCATCCATGTGAAGCACCTGGTGACCCACAAAAGTGATTAGGTAACTTATTAGCAAACCACGTTTACCCAGATAATCACATTCATCACAAAGCCTTAGCTTTGACACTCTATGTAAACACTAATAATATTCAGTCAATAGTAGATCACTGACAAAAATGTGTGCTCACATGTTAGTATTATTTAATCACCCCAATAGCACTTACACTGCATGACTGATATAGTCTGTGGCAAGGAAAGGGAGCGTGGTTTACGTAATACATATATTTATGCTCAAATGCCTAGACTTTTATTTTGAAGTTTCTTTTAAATTCCAGGGGCGGGGATATTTTGTTTAATTTGTTAGTGGGCTGGTACAGCAGGCACTGAAAAAGTTTCATTCAAGAGGTATTAGCTGTAGCTGAGCCAAACTAAAGTGTGTAGTAAAT